AAGGGTAGTGAGAACGATACCATATGTTAAAACAGACTGCTGCATGTTCAATTAGACCATCCCCACTTTCCTCATCAAACCATTACTCACAGTGGTACACCGGCTCTTTGAGGTGATCATATCAAATCGGATATCTTCATCAACTTGCTCTAGGCACAATTAAATATTTCAATAGAGCAGAGCAAGTGAGCCAAATGCAATGGTCAATAAGTCTTAAACTTATACAACTCGATATAGTTCTACATAGATAATGGAAGGAGCATGCGTCTCTTCTTTTTCCTGGCCAATCTCACTTGCTTTGTGATTTTCATGCAGAGAAGCAATAGCATTGTGATGAATACTAGAATAAAGGCAAGTTGCAGATGCCGAAAGTATAAAGAAACGGCTGAGAAAACCAGGAAAGCTAATATAACAAGTTCCCATATAACAAAGACAACAACATCCACCCTGCGTCAGAAAAAACAGTGCACAATGTTTAGAAATGTCTTATTCTGAACCACAGAAGAATAAATAGTCAAAAGAACGTAACCTGATAAAACTACAAATATTCTAGAAATTAAATTCTTTAATTTATTTTTCCAAACAAAAAATTGGCAATTCCTGCATCATACAATTTATTAACATAAATTATAACCTTACAAACATGTCAAAACTTGTTGGAACTAGGACATAGAACAAAAATATTAGCCATGAATATTTTCCGGCATAAGTAACACAAAAACCTTAATGCATGAATGTTGCAAAGAACTGATTCAAGGACAACCGACTTATTTTCAACCCGGTACAACAATACTTCTTAAGTGCGCTAGCATTTGAATAAAAGGGACTCCTAGCCTAAGTCCCCAACATTTGAACAAAATCCAAACAATTCTATAGTGCACAGATAGGTAAGCATTCTGCTCTTATAGATCCTCATATGCATGTAAACGAATCGAACGAACACTAACGAGAGTATGTTCATGTTCATTCGTTTAACTTTAACCGAACAAACGAACGAACACGAACAACTAAACAAACAAAAATTTTTGTTCGTGTTAGTTTAGGTTAGTTCGTTAAAATGATAAACGAACACGAATGAGCGAACGTAAACAAACACAAACGAACGAATATAAATAAACGTAAAGGAACATAAATGAAGGAACATAAAATTAATTGGGTTTATATTGGAGAAGAGTCTTTTCTTTCCAAATAATTATAGAGTTTATATTTTCTTTAATTTATTTGTGTATTTTTATTTGTGTTTAAAATTTATTGGATTTTAAAATATTAATGGATTTAAGATTAAATTTATTAGGTCTTAATATTTTAAACGAGTTTGGGGATAAGACTAAAAGACGAATATAAACAAATGAGCATAAACGAACGAACGTCAACAAACATCAACGAAAGAACGTCAACAAACATAAATAAAAGAACATAAACAAATTGATTACCAAACATTCGTGAACGTAAACGAACGAACGAGTCTTTGTTCGTTTCGTTCATTTAATTAAACGAACATAAAATCTTATTCATGTTCGTTCGTTTAACAAATAAACAAACAAAATCGAACTTCCTGCCGAACATTTCACAAACAGTTCGTTGAGCATTCGGTTTGTTTACAAGCCTAGATCTTCATAACAGCCATAAAAGGCCTAAAGATACACATGGTGCACAATAATCATAGCTGAGTTAATGGCAAGATTTAAGGACACACATGCACTCCTACCATCATACATTTAGTCCCCTCACCAACACCACAATTTTATAGAAATACAAGTAGAAAAGAAAGGGTTAGCAAGATAATAGTGGTAATACAACGTACAAATATTAACAAATAACAACAATATTCAAATTGCTGGTACTGCAATAACCAAAAATCCGCACTCATCTACACAAAAAAGCTGCCAAGCAACTACATGAAACAACCTGCACCCCAGCAGCAGACTTCTTTCAGCCACCTAAATTTCAATTTCTTATGAAAATTAAGATGAAGCAACAGTTTGAAGTTTAAACATTCATTTTCTTAGATTTTGGGGGCCTAAAGCACAACATAAGAACTAAGCCAATTTCACTATAATTCCAAAGGGGTGGTTTAATTATTGAGGGACTCTTTGACGGGTACCCCCCCCCCCCAAAAAAAAAACTATGTACATGTATCAGTAGATTGAGGGGGAAATCAATTAAAATATCAAAATTTTCAAGACAAAATAAGAAGGAAAAAAAACATAACCTTAAGCTATTGCTGGATTTTTTAACAGAAAGATGCTATAAAAACCTAGCTAACCTAGATAAACCGGCAATGCTTCGATCGACGCTCCTATGAAACACATTTCATTACAAGCTCGTTAATCGCAAAAACCTTATCATTGGATCCAATATGGAAAAACAAAAAAGAAAGTCCTAAATTTCAAAACAAGGTTTTTTTTGTAAATCACAGAATTGGGTTTACCTAGACGATGTAAGATTAGACGTTGATGAGAAGAACGAAACGGATGCCCAATCGTGGCTAGATCGAATCTGATACTCTCTCAACTGCTCTGCTAAATTCGATCGCGTTATCATCGCTTGCCTTCGCCTTTCCCCCTTTCCGTTTAATGATAATGTTTGGGTTTGGAGCCAAAATAATTTCAAAATATGAATGAGCAATATAAGATACGAATTGGATATAGAGAAATGGAAGGAAGAGGAAGGGCGGGCACCAAAGATCGATTGAGATGGGAGATGATGGTTCGTTGCGTTGCGTCAGACTTCTGAGAGCGAAGATAGAGGAAAAAAATAAAAGGAAGGTTTCCCATCGAACTGCGCAATGGGCCAGCGTACATGTACAGCTTAAGGTTTTTTCGGCCCAATACCTCAGGCGGGTAAAATGTTAAGAGTATTGGGCCTACCCAAACATTATTTAGTAAAAATACAATATTTGATACAGTACAGAAGGAACTTGTCATTATAGGATATTTTTTAACGGTTCACGCGTAGTAGGCCTCACGTGGATCATTATTTTAATGGCTTAATAATGAATCGTTACGCCGATGTGACAAGTTCATTAAAAATACTTTTAAAAAATTCTAAGAAAAAAATAAATTTTAGAAAATAAAAAAGAATATTCAACGGAACTCGTTACGTCGAGGTGACGAGTTCCTTCGAATTAAAAAAAACTAGTCGTTGTTCAACGGGCAGACAGGCAATGGTCACTTGGAACTCCTCACCTAAAGGTGACGAGCTCCTCCAGGGATAATTTAAAAAATTAAAATTAAAAGATAAATTAATTTATTTGAATTTTATGAAATACAAAGTAAATTAATTGTAAAAAATAATTTTTACATGAAAATTACAAATAAAATTTATCTTTATCTTCTAAGTTCTTGATGATGCCTCGGAGTGTTCGAATGATATTGTTACGGGGTCACCGAGTAAGTCGGGGTCAGAGGTCGTGATCGTCATCGTCGTCGTCTTGTTGAGGAGGTGTACCCAACATACTCTACATCCACATACGAAATACGGTGATGGATTTATGACATTTGACGCCATCATCAACGTAACTGCTTCGACTTGGCTGCTACTTTGTTAACCATATAGGATATGGTCCCAATCACCCGCAACCTCATGTTCTGTTGAAGATTCCTGAGTCTACTGCGATGCATCTCATGAACCTTCAACCCAATTCGACCGAGTCTCTACTAAGTATGATATGGAGGAAAGAAATCGAAACTAGCATGAAATACATAATAGTACTCTTCAGCTACAGATGCTAAAGCGAAGACGACAATGATGATGTTTCCTTCTTGGACTTGGACTTGGTGCATGCAGCCTGATGATGTTGTCACTCTGTCCTTTTCTCAGTTTCGTGAGATATGGTTTGCAATTTTGTTTGTAAATCCGTAGATAGTTAGAATGATCAAAATCTAAGTCCAGCGGTGTAATGTCCTAACAATGGGGGAGCAATAGTTCACGTTAATTCCATAGGTCGATATACTAAGCATGTCGCACCGGCCAATTTTCATCATCTTTCCCATTCATATCGATTATATTAAGCGCGTCCAAATCAACCACTATTTGCATAGAATTAGTTGGTGATCCTCAAACTGGCGCATCACTCTATCAACAGCTTTCCACTCAACAATCGCTTGGTGAAATAACGGCGTCACGACACACTATAAGTAGGATCCCTCAAGAAATCGCCCCGGCAATACCTTCCGGATCTCTTCGTCGACAAACGGAAGCCAAGGAACTATAAATATTAAATATCAAAGTTAGTATATATAAAGTTAAAAATATTCAAAAATAATAATAATTTTGTATGTCATACCGCGAATCAGCCGGTGATGTCGATCCTCATCTGTATGTCTCATACAGTGGCACCTTCCAACTTCGTCTCTAATATTTTATGACGTCATCTAAAATATTTAAAAATAAAAAATTATAAGTAAATAAAAAATAAATTTATGAAATTAAAAAAAAGTTAAATAAATGAAGTTAAACAATTACCTTTCAGCCAATAGAAACTCGATCGAGGCATCTATAATTGGCGTAAAAAATGGGAAGTGATACCAAGCCCAGGACTGTAGCAGTATCAGACAGCACGCTACATCGTCTTTTCGACCCAGCATTACTGGTGCAACCTTATAAAGCTCCTGTACAAAAAGGCTAAAATCGTCAAGCCCTAACTGGTATTACGGAACACATCGAAGTCTTTAAAAATTTACAATACTAAGTGTGCACCAGATTACCGAATTTATCTAGTAATAATATCTCTCCGGTCACTTGAAGAAGAAATAATCGGACGCAAAAATAACCTCTGCCTCGGTAGACTCATCTATGACTTGGAATTAGGACTCCAACCACGTTATCATTACCCGATAGCCCCTAATAACGTAGGATAGTGGCCATTTTCCCATAACTTAAAAGACCAACGTCGAGGGGTCGTACACGTTCTACCTCACCATGAGGGCTCTATTCACCGGAACACCGAATTGGTAAGTGATGTCTTCCAAAGTAATCGTCACTTCACCACTCATTAAATGGAACGTGTACGTCTTGGGGCGCCAACATTCGATCAGAGCCTCGATCAACATCGAGTATACCTTGAAGCCAGGTAAGAATATAGCCGAAAATAAACCAGATTGATGCAGATATGTCATCATTCGCTGATGCGACTCTCTGGTTGTCATCCCCCAACTACGAATATTTCATTCGTCGTCACCTCGAGGTGACGAGTTCCAAGTGACTATTCCCCCGTTTTCCCATTGAACTACAGCTAGCCAATGACTAGTTTTTTTAATTTAAATGAACTCGTCACCTCGATGATGAGTTCCATTGAATATTTTTTTATTTTCCAAATTTTATTTTCCTTATATTTTTGTAAAAATATTTTTAATGACTCATCACCTCAGCAAGTATGAGTTTTGGTTGTTTGGAGTGTCATTTTTGGGTTATGTGGTGACCGCTGAGGGTATTCAAGTATATCCCCAAAATATCCAAGTTGTGTGAGAGTGGAAACCGCCAAAGAATGTATCTGATGAGTATAGTTTCCTTGGACTTATTGGGTATTGTCGTCGCTTCACGAAAGGATTTTCAATGATTGCCGCTCCGATGTCCAAACTCATTCAAAAGGATGAGCTTTCGTTTGGAATAAAAAGCGCTAACAAAGTTTCAACAATTTAAAATAGATTCTTACTCAGGCACCAGTCCTAACGCAACCCAAGTCTAGAAAAGAGTACACCGTGTTCAGTGATTCTTCGTTAAATGGTTTAGGGTGCCTTCTGATGCAAAAGGGAAAGTAGTGGTGTATGCTTCGCGACAGCTTAAATCGCACGAATATAACTACCCTACCCATGACTTAGAGTTGGTCGTAGTAGTCTTTGCTTTGAAAATTTAGAGGTTATATCTCTTCGGGGATAAGTGCTACATCTTTACCAACCACAAAGTCTCAAGTACCTGCTTACTCAGAAGGAGCAAAATTTGAGACAACATCGTTGGGTTGAGTTACTTAAGGATTACGATTGCGTCATAGTCTATCACCTAAAAAACCTGTTGTGGTGGCCGATGCTTTGAGTCGCAAGTCGATGTCCGACTTTCGAGAACTACTAGCTAGGATAAGCTTGACTCCTGATGGGAGCTTAGTGCCAAAACTTTGGGTTGAGCCGGAACTTGTTAAGGATGTAAAGGAATTACAAGAGTCAGATGGCTGTTTGATAGTTAGAGCAGAGCGAGTTCGTTGTGGTGAGTTGCCCAAGTTTGAGTTGAAAGATAGTGATATGTTGTACTTTCGAGACCGACTTTTTGTACCAGCTGATGTAGAGTTGAGGGATAGGATACTTGGAGATGCTCATTGTAGTCCACTCTTTGTGCACCCCGAAAGTGACAAGATGTACCGAGAGCTTTGACAGTTGTATTGATGGTTGGGCATGAAAATGGAGGTAATTGAATTTGTCGCAAAGTGTCTAGTTTGCCAACAAGTCAAGGCGGAACATCAGGTTCCCTCCATTTATTTCAACCGATTCAAATAACTCAATTAGGGTGACCATGGTACTTTGTCACATGATTACTGAGAACTCAACAAAAGCATGATGTTGTTTGGGTAATAGTGGACCGATTAACTAAATCCGCCAATTTCTACAAGTTTGAATGGATTTCACTTTAGAAAGGTTAGCGTAACTCTACATTAGGGAGATTTTAACACTTCATGAAGTACCTTATTCGATCATTTTTTATAGAGACTTGTGGTTTACTTTGAGGTTTTTAAAAGGGTTGCATTAGGATTTGGGTACTAAGTTACACTTCAGTATTACTTTCCACCCGCAGACGGATAGACAGTCAGAGAGGGTTATTTAGATTCTTGAAGACATGTTGCGATGTTCTGTCATTGATTTTACGGGGAGCTAGGAGGATCATCTTCCATTAGTCGAGTTCGTCTACAACAACATTTATCAAATCAATATTCAGATTGCGCCCTACGAAGCTTTGTATAGGAGAAAGTGTAGGACTCCCTTGTGTTGGACTGAACTTAATGAAAAGAAGCTAGTTAGTCCGAAATTGATTCGAGAAGATGAGGATAAGGTACGAATAATTCAGGGTTGTTTAAAAGAAGCTTTCGATAGACAAAGGTCTTATGCAATTTTAAAAAAGAAAGACATCGAGTTTAGTATTGGTGACAAGGTGTTCATTAAAGTGTCGCCTTAGATGAAAGTTCTTTGGTTTGGCCAAAAGGGAAAATTGACCTCGTGCTTCATCGGACCTTATGAGATTCTGGACAGAGTAAGTCCCGTAACTTACCAATTAGTCTTGTCGCCTGAGATTGAGTGCATTCATAACGAGTTCTATGTGTTCATGCTTCATAGGTACCGATCAAACCCGTTTCATGTGATTCTATTAGAGTAGATTGAAGTGAGCCCGGATATTTCCTATGTCAAAGAACTGATAATGATCTTAGCCTGAGAGGTCAAGGAGCTGAGAAACAAGTCAATTCCGCTAGTTAAGGTCCTGTGAGGAATCATGGAGTGAAGAAAGCAGCTTGGGAGACTGAAGAGGATATGCAACTGTAGTACCCACACCTTTTCGGATCAAGTAATTTCGAGGATGAAATTCTTTCTAAGTGGGGAGAGTTGTAACGCCCGTTGGAGTGTTAAATTAGTCTATTTAAAACTGTTTAGGTCAAGGATGAAGGAATTGGGCTTGTAGGAAGCCTATTAAGTGTAAAAATGGCATTTTTTATTTGGGTATGAAATAGGAAGGACCAAGGAAGAAATTTACCCTTTGTTTGAAAATAAGGCTAAATAGTAATTAAAGAATGTGATGTAAACAGGGGCGAAAATCAACAGAAAAATCTATCATATTTTTCTTCACTTTGTCATCTTATTCCTCTCTTTCTCATCTCTTCTTCATTTCCAAATATTGTAAATGTGAGAGCTTTTTTGATTTGCAAAGCTTACTATATATATTTTAAAGGTAAGAAATGAATTCTACACCCTTAGAGCTTCATTTTAAACCCAAAATCAAAAGGTTTAGCTATGGTGTCAAAATATAGGTTTTTGAGAGATTTTAGTTCTAGGGCTTAGAAATGATTCTGAGTTGTTCCTAAATGTTGAGAAACGCGTTTCTAAACATTTAAAGGCTTAAAAATAAGATTTTGATCCTTTGTTGCTTTGGTTAGTGAAAGAACATGGTGAGTGCTCTCAAGGTAAGAACAAGGAGAAGTTGGTGCTTGGGTGACCCTTAAAGCCTCATTTCTTAAGCCTTTAGTAAGGTAACACATAACTAACTCCCTTTTTATCATATGTAAGTCACGAGTCTATGCTTGCTTGCTTATTGTGTTCTTTGGGTGCAAAATGGGTATTAATGGTAACATGCTTAATTGATGCTTTTGCTATGTTAAAATGACTCATTTCGATGATAAATAACCCCATAAAATTTAACAAACCTTTGGTAGCCTTAAGGGGGCTTATAAGAGGCTTTTAGAAACCATTTGCGTGCTTAAATAGAGCACTCTAAACTGTCGGTATTGGTATTATAAGAATAATACCGATATTGTTCTTCGTATAGGGTAAAATGAAGCAATTTTTTAGGGTAAGTATTGATACCCCTTCCAGGAGTATCGATACTTGGGATCCGATCTCGATACTCAAGGGTGTGATCTCGATATGGGTTTCAAGAAGGCTAAATTGGTATATATACTCATGGGAGTATCGATACCATTGGGAGAATATCGATACTCTACATTAGGGTATTGATACTAAGATTAAAATTGAAACATTGAAGTTGAAACTGATATCGATATGATAGACTCAGTATCGATACTAACGTCCTGTATAGGGTAGAGAATTTAACAACTTTTGTGAGTGTTTGAAGGGGTTATGAGAGCATCGAGGGTTCTTAAATAAGACTACAAGTGGTAATAACATTCGAAACGCTTATGAATAATAATGTTAAATTACGTGGCATAAAATAGCCTTTGTTTTATGCTCGGGAAACAACTAGGACACCCATGTTACTTGAATGATGTATATACTATTCATATATGTGAGCAGAGATATCTGAATTCTCTTCCCCAGTACGATGACACTTTAATATTACTGCAAATGCACTTTTGATTAAGTGTAAATGCACTTTTGATTAAGTGTAAATGCAATTTTGTATCAGTGTTGCGACACTTTAGTATTATTGCTAAGGCACTTTCGTTATATAATGATGACCATATTGTAATTCTTATATTTCTATGACCCATATCCTTATATTATAATCTATGTTTATTGCATTATGTTGCATCATGAATTAACTTGTTAAGTATTCATAGTTAATGGATGATATAGTATAGTTGAGTCATTTATGTGGCAATGAGCTCGTAACTCAGCGTTCGGAATTGTTTCCGTTCGCATGTTAGTAGATGCTGGACTCGAGAGCGTATCACCAAACATGAATTCCAGATATCAGCAGCAGTAGAGTATGTCTTGATTATTGTAGTGGGAATGTATTATCATATACCCTTTTTGTATTTTGAGTCATAACTCTTGGATTACTGTATTTCATAAATTATATTGGGAGCTTCCCGATTTGTAAACCTAACTACTAATATTTTGTTTTAACTCGAATGTGATGAACTTTATTTTGGAAAATCAAATATTTTATTTGGAAAAAATGGGTTAGCCACTCTGATGGTCCCATGTAATGCCCAAATCTTTTGGGTTTTCGTTTTATTCAGATTTGGGTGTTACATAATATCCCATTGAACTCGTCACCTCGAGGTGATGAGTTCCGTCTGGACTGTAGCAAATGTCGTATTTTGCTAAATAATATTTGGGTAGGTGGTTCGCTGGAATGTTTTTTAGGGAATTGGAATCTGTGAAGGAATTGGAATATTAAGGAATTAGAATCTGAAACTTGTTTGGTTGACAGGAAATTGAATTGAATTGAAATCCAATCCATATTCTGTTTGGTTCGCAGACATGTCAGATGAATTTGATTTCAGTAATGTAAAATGACATAATTACCCTTCTTGTTTTTTTGCTTAATTTTAGTTTGTTTTATAACTTACATGTAGCAATATATTATAAAAATTTTAAAAATATTAAATTTTCATTTTATTGATTGATTATTCATTTCAATAAATTATAAAAATCATACTAATAAATTAAAATCATTCCAATTAGGGATGGCCATGGGTTGGGTAGGGTCGGGTTTTTGGTCCACCCGACCCGACCCGAGAACAAGGGAACCTCCACCCGAGACCCGACCTGACCCGACCAAAATAAAGTTTCACCCGACCCGACCCGAATATATGAATTAGAAACTTGACCAGACCCGAAATAATAAAAAAATATTTTTATTCATTAAAAACAGTGACTTAATTGAAAAAAGTTATATATAGAGGGGTATTATTGTAATTATTCCTAAATATATAAGGTAAAATTATATATTTTTTCGGGTCGGGTCGGGTATTTTTCACCCTAAACCCGAACCTGACCCGAATATCACACTTAAAAAAACCCGACTCGAACCTGATTTTTTAAAAAAAAATCCGTCCCGATCCTGAATACCAAAAGATTGATGAGGGTAGTATGGTCAAATTTCACATTCTTTCCTCCAAAGGATTTCAATTCCATCATGTTATGGATGAATTTACTTTCCCTCCCTTGATGGAATTGGATTCCAATTCCCCATTTGAAAACTTGAACCAAAAATGAGAAAGTGGTGGAATTAGATTCCAATTCCCCCTAATTCCAAGGATTCCAACGAACCAAACGCCACCTACATATTTTACCCACCTAGGGTATTGGGCCAAAAAACCACAACTTAACCATAAAATGGGCTAATCTAATACATATTTCACGGCTCAAACAATTTTATTAATTAGCCCAATAGGGCATATATAAGTTTATTTTGGGATTATAATATTTGCTACAATTTTAAAGGAACTCGTCACGTTGAGATGAGGAATTTATCTAAATAATATCTTTTTTATTCAAACTTATCATATCGAGGTGATGAGTCCTAATAAAATATAGTTTTTTTATTAAATTTTATCACATCGATATAAAAAGTTTGAATAAAAATATTTTTTTATTTGACGTGAAGAGTTCCAAGTCATTGTAGCTAATATCGTAGATCCCTAAATAAATTGTTATACCGTAATGGGCTAAATAATTAGCCTGCCTATTGTATCAGGCTAAAATTGCCCACATTTTGCATCGTAATTCAATAACAATGAAGCCCACGTTAAATAAGGGTAAACAATCAAATTAATCGTTTTCCTTTTGTGTTATATAATTTACAAAATTTTATATATTTTAGGCTTAAATATACAAAAGGTGCCCAACGTATGCATTTGGTTCTAGTTTAGTGCCTAACATTTATTTCGGTATACTTTGGTGTCTAATGTTTCATTCGTTACTTATTTAGGTGTCCGAGCTGTCAACGATGTTAATTTCCCCGTTAAGTGATATGTGTCACAACCTGATAATTTTAAAAATTTTATTTAAAATTTAAAAACTAAAATTATATATATATATTAAAAGAAAATACAAATTTTGAAATAAACCTAAAATTTTGAAAACCTTCATTTCAACCCCTAAACTCATGCTAACCACCGCCTTTTACCGTTGATAAAGTTCCACCCAACCTCCCCTCCCATCGACAACCAAAACCCCCATAAAATCATGACCGACCGATGATTGATTGATGACGAATCAACATTTTTAACCTGCGAACCCTATGATGAAAATCACGATCCCACACGATTCTAACGGTCGATCGACCGTTGATCAGTGACAATTTCATAGGGGTTTTGGTCGCTAAGGGGAAGGAAAGTCAGTGGAGCTTTATTGACGGCAAAATGCGATGACCAATATGGTTTAGGGGTTGAAATGGAGGTTTTCAAAGTTTTAGATTTATTTCAAAATTTGTGTCTTCTTTTTAAAAATATATATTAATTTTTTAATTTTTAATAATTTTTTTTGAAAATCATTAGGTTGTGACACGTGTCACTTAACGACCAAAATTAACGGTCTGACCCAATTTGAGTTACGGAATGAAACGTTAGGTACCAAACTGGAACAAAATAAACATTAGACACTAAACTAGAACCAAAAGCATACGTTGGGTACCTTTTGTATATTAAGCCTATATTTTAGTATGTAAAAACTTAGCTATTAATTAAAAAGAAAAAAAAAACAGTTATAATTCTATAAATCTTATGAAATTATTATTATTTTTTTCCAATTGATTATTTAGGTAAAGAAATAGTTATTAATTATTTATATTATAACGATAAAAGAATGAGATTAATCTTTGTGACTACTAGTTTTAAATTGATTCGAATTAAAATTATTTAATGAAAAAGTTAATATAAAAATTAAATATTAAATGGGATCAAATCAAATTAAAATAAACTACTTCAATATCTAAAAAATCCCATTCAAAATTATTTAGTAAAATAAAACATACAAAACTTTAATAACTTTATGTTACCTATCTATGAATATAATATTTTTTTAATGTTGATATTAAAAAATTAATATTAATAAATACTTATTATTTATTCCGAGAAGGATAATGGATAACATTGCATGGTAAAAATGTAAACTTTCCCCAATTATTGCAGCCTACGTATACAAGTTGTAAGATAACAAGATAAGGTTGTCCTGGGAGACTGCTACTAATTGGCAAGGCAAATCCAAAATCTTGTTCTACCCTCCGCAAAGTAACAACCTTTTTTTCCCTTTCAAAACAAGAGTCCGATAGCCACATCGAAGAGAAGGAAATGTTAGGTGCGCTCAGTGCTGCAAGTTTAACGCTTGGTCCGGGTGTTGCTCCGGCAACATTCACCTCCCAATGCAGCAGCAACGGTGGAGTAGCCAAAGCCCTGGCGTTTCCCAGCAGCAACGACCGTGCCCAGTTGTTGATTAAGAGCTCCTTCAGTTCAAATTCCAGGACCACACCATCCTTTAGGACTGCCGTTGCTGCAGTTGACTCCGACCCGCTCAGTCCCGAGAAGGTAACTTTTTTGTTTCTTCTACCTCGTATATCAAATATCAAATAGTTGCTGCAGTAATTGGGTATTTTGAGTCATCATATAATCCTATGTTTCTGTCCATTACCCAGTGCGTAGGTACATAATAACTACTTTTAATCAGGTAGTTAGACCACTACTCTGTTTGTCTTAGTAATAATAGACTTCATGGCAAACGAATTACCAGTCTATATTTAGCTACCATGCATTCCTTCTCATCGCTTTCTCCATTATTGTGGCAAATATCTAGCTCAACACGGTTAATGTGGACAGGGATTGGCCGAGGGGTGCCAGAGCAGTCGCACCCCAGGAAATTTCAAATTCTCGAATAGTTTAGTTATTTTCTTTGCATTTTATATTGATAATCTAATTTAGCACTCTGAAATTTTGTAATTTCTTACTCCCTAAACTATCACACCACTGACATTAAATTCTGCATGAGTCTCTAAACCAGAACATGTTCATAAAATTCTGCATCAGTCTCAGAACAAGGGTGATACTATAATAAATAAATGTATGTATCAGCAAGAAAGACCTGTTCTACTATTACTTTTGGACAACAATAGATTTTATTTTATTTTGTTCTCATGTTTGATTTTCTTTTCCTGTTTGAGGAATGTGTTTGATGATTTGATTGAACAAAGTCATTCCTTTTTACTGTTGAAACTTGTGTACGTTTGCTTCACTCTAGTCTAGTTTTAACAAGCGGTAATGAAAAGCAACGACGTGGTTCACAATTCAAATATTCCCTTTTCTAATTGTCTCAGGTATCATTTAGCCCCCATTGGTTTCGAAAGCCTGTAACATTATTAAGTAGAACCAATAGCAGGAAAAGATCAAACTGTGTTCTCTGTTAGATATATGGTTAGAGTTAAAATGAGGCTTCATTTTATTGATTGCCAATCAAGGAAAATAAGTCTTGTTTGACTTTGGAGATCTCAAATCTGCTTTTTCTTTTATTATGTTGATAAAGATCTTGAAAATCGAGAATGGAAGAGGCCATGCTGGTTTTCCGTTCAGAATGGTGTTGTTAAAGAGTCTTTTCTGATGGTATGAATTACTTTCTGATTCTGAAGTTATTATTTTCCAGCAACATGTCCAGAAATACTATTTTGTTGTTGCAAATGCAAAGTTCATGCTGGATGAAGAGGAACACTTCAAGGAGCTCTTGTATGAGAGGCGTCGGTACTACGGAGAACATGATAAAGAACAGGACTTCTGGCTTGTAATCGAGCCTAAGTTCTTGGAAAAATTTCCCGACATTACAAAGAGGTTGCACAGGCCTGCTGTTGCCCTGGTTTCAACTAATGGCCCTTGGATCACGTAGGACTTGAACCAAAAAAAATTATTTGGTTTTTGCTTCATTTTTCATCTTCTTCTCCCTACATGAGTACTGCATAAAACCTGGATATTGAAAGACTAGTATTACCTTCCAACTTGGTTAGGACTTCTTCTAGGAGATGGTAAACCTAGAATGATGCAAGTACAAAGATACAATAAATTCATGTACAGTTAAATCCTTTGCGACATCGTCCGGTGATACATAAATTATACTCTTGAATGCCAGATCATATTAAAAAGCAAAAGGGAAGACAAAACGATATCCCACAGTGGTGGTGGTAGCTTTAGTTTTGACCCTGCAGGGAAAAGTGTATTGTGGTTATCGGTGTAACACCAATGGAGTTACATCCCAAACTATTTCCGAACCTTTTATTAGTATGACTTGGCCGTAGTTTTGATTAGCATGGTATTAAGTTGCATCTTTTTTTTAATCTTAATTGAATTGCTCTGCAGGTTTATGAAATTGAGGTTGGACCGAGTTTTATCGGATAGCTATGAAGCTGACAGTCTTGAAGAAGCTTTAGCCTCAAATCCTACCGAGCTGGAGTTTGAGAAGCCAGAAAAATGGGTGGCACCGTATCCAAAATATGAATTTGGATGGTGGGAGCCCTTCTTGCCTACAGGAGTTAAAGTTTGAAAATAGCATTTTCGGGTATCGATTTTTGTTTAATTGGAATTGTTTTCTGTAACAGATGAAAGATCAATGTGGTAGCCTGTTTTGCATATGATCTGGTACTTGGTAGTGAATATAAAAATCTTAATTTCGGATGTTACAACTGCTAAGCTAATATCTTCATTTATGCATGTAGAATTCTCTTGATTTGATTCTCCCCCTTTTTTCTCCTTGACAAAGGTAAACAGTTCCAGAGTTGCCTAACCATGCTGAAACTCACAAATGAGGTCCACAAAATTCCTCATGTTTCTCATATAGCATTGGCATTGCCCGCTTCAGCATGGCAGAACATGGATGGATTGAAGGGTTAACGGAAACGATCTCCATGGAAATTTTAAAAGTTCAATTAATTTTTATGAATAATTTATTTTTGTTCCTTAAAATTTTATTTGTTTACCTCAAACATGTTGAGCAGGAAACTACTATTGATGATTAATATGTATGTTTTCATATTAACATCACAACATGGCTGCGTTCGTATATGAGCTAATTTCCCTAGAAGTTTTCATTCTCAACCTCGTCTCTGAATCCATATTATATTGATACTAACTTAATGTGATTAGGAATGACTAATATATTTAGATCTGATGAGTTTTGACTGATCTGATTCGGTCGGGTTAAAATTTTATTTTAAAAATTTGAGTTTCGGGTCAAGTTGTGTCTAATTTAGGGTGAAATAAATACAACTCACCTCACATAATATTATAATTATTCTTTATATATTTATGGATAGTTTTAATAATATGTCTTCCTATTTTTTTCAATTAAATATTTATTTTATTAAATAAAAATCATTTTTTAATATATATTTAAGTCAGATTAGATCAAATGCGAGCTTTAATTTAAAATATCTGGTCGAGAGTTGGATATGGTAGGTTCCCTTCTAAACACGGGTTGGGTCGAATAGGGACGGAGCATTTTAAGTTTTTAAGATGAGTTCAATCGGCCAAAAATCTGATCCATTCTCATCCCTAAATGTAGCCCGTTTGTATAAAATCCAACAATCGGCCTATCCGCTGTTGTTTGAAAAGTTAACAAGAGCCCATTAGACTTGGTAGCTGCGATGTTGACTTCGATTTGAAACAGGGAGCGAAGAATTCGGATTTGGGATTGGGAGATGCAGTATGATTTTTCTCACGATTCATTCATTTCGAATTTCTCTTTCTGATGATTTGCCGTGAAGAAGAAGTAGGTTAATCTTGGTTTGAAGATAGTTGGTGAAAATTGGGGGATGGAAGCAGTAGCTGAAGGGCTGTGGGGGCTAGCAGATTACCATGAGAAGAAGGAAGAGATAGGGAAGGCGGTGAAGTGCTTAGAGGCAATCTGCCAGTCTCACGACTCCTTCCTTCCCATCGTCGAGGTGAAGACTCGGCTCCGCATAGCCATTCTTCTGCTGCGCCACTCGCACAACGTTAACCATGCCAAGTCCCACCTCGAACGCTCACAGTTGCTCCTCAACTCCATACCTTCTTGCTTCGAGTTGAAGTGCCGGACCTACTCACTGCTCAGCCAGTGCTACCATCTCGTTGGGGCCATCCCTCCTCAGAAGCAGATCTTGCAGAAGGCTCTACACCTTACTTCTGCGGCAGCTCCAGAGTACGTTTGCTCTTAGGTTTTCTTGTTTAAATATAGTTTTTTTTACCAGAACTTAGCCTAATAGAGTAAATTACTTCTATTGTTAAGCAATCCTTGAATTTGCAGTTTTTCGGTGAAGTTATGGTGTTGTAACTTCAATTCTCAGTTGGCAAACGCTCTGATTATTGAAGGAGACTACCAGAACTCAATCTCCACTTTAGAATCAGGTTATGAAATTGCTACTCAAATTTGCTATCCGGAGCTTCAGATGTTCTTTGTGACTTCTATTCTGCATGTCCGCCTCCTAATGCAGTGGGGTGATCAAACGGCAAACGAGGTTGAGCTAGCTCTTCAGCGGTGCGATCAGATCTGGGAGACTATGCCCTCGGATAGGGTCAGTTAAGCTCTACCATGTCTCCTTATTAATCTGTGATTCATATACAATATGGTACTAATAACTAATTCCTCTTTCCTATTGAAGAGAGCCCATTGCTTGGGTTTACTCTTCTACAATGAACTTCTGCATATCTTCTACCGACTTCATATCTCTGATTACAAGAATGCTATCAAACATGTGGACAAGTTGGATGCCGCTAAGAAGCAAGATTCCAAGAACATGCACCAACAGACTTCAACTGGAAATGATTCCCTTGAACCCACATATTTTGGAAATATCAAACGGGCAGTGCAATATAAGCTTTTCCTCGCACCACCTCCCATTAATGGGGAATGGCTGCCAAAAAGTGCTGTATATGCCCTTGTTGATCTCATGGTCATCATATTCGGTCGTCCAAAAGGAAATTTTAAAGAGTGCGATAAAAGAATTCAATCTGGAATGCATATCATCAAAGGTTTGTTGTTATTTAAAATAGGACACCATTGCTTTATTCTTGGAATTTCTCTTCTTTTACCATCTTTCCATGATTGTGGATAATAGAAAAGTGGAGTTTCTATGTAGCCCCTTAAACTATATGATTGACGGATGCTTAGAATCTAAGCATTGCTATTTCTTGCAGAGGAACTGGTCAGGCTTGGGATAACTGATGATGTGAGAGGTTAGTTTTCTTTTCTTATTTTTACACCTTACATTGTTCGTCCTGAAGTGATTTTCCTTTTCTTACTGTTAACTCTCTTGGTTTTGCTCAAGTAGAAGTGGATTTGAAACACTCAGCAATCTGGATGGCTGGTGTATATTTAATGCTATTGATGCAGTTCCTTGAGAATAAAGTTGCTGTGGAGCTTACACGGTCTGAATTTCTTAAAGCTCAAGAGGTAGATTTTTTGCTTTCAATTATTTCCGGTTAACTGTCTGCTCTCTAAAAACTTCAGCTATAAAACCTTGCTGATTTTTTTTTTGTGTGTGTGTGTGTTTGTGTCTGCAAGGGCAGTGATATACTTCCCTACCTTATTTAGGCAGCACATTAATGAACAAATGGATAACTTATATCAAAATCTATGCATGCATTTGTATGTGGTTTACTTTGTATTTTTAATATTTATAATGGTTTGAAGGATCCTTGACTTTGTTTATCATGAAAAATAGAAAAACATACGAAAAGAAGGATAGATTTTCTAGTTCCAATTCTCTCTTCTCTAAACTAAGTTGAATTGACTATTGATAGTTACCATTGTAGGTTTACTGAAAACTACTATTGTAGAGTGTAAGAATCCATATATACAGTATGTTAATTTGTTTGCCTTTAGCGAGAATGATAATGAATTAATGACTCCCTTCAAATGATATGATATATGCCTTGAATACTTATTATAGTCCACTCTCTATTTGTATTTGAAGTGTCATTTTCCACTTGACTTTTAAATGCTCTGTACTGTACAATTATGAACTTTTAGGTTGGCAGAATGCTCCTTAGTGTTCTCCATGCCAGGAAACTATCAGTAACTCTTGAATTTGAATTACTGAGATAGCATTTTAATCTTACAGGCATTGGTACAAATGAGGAACTGGTTCATTCGCTTTCCAACAATTTTACAGGCCTGTGAGAGCATCATTGAGATGCTTAGGGGGCAATATTCCCATTCTGTCGGTTGTTATAATGAAGCAGCTTTTCACTATGTAGAAGCTGCGAAGGTATGCTGTTTTAACTTGGCACCAGTTACAAGTTCCATATTTTGTTGTTGCTTTTGAAATAGAGGTGGCCAGGTGGGTAGTTAAATGCTAATATAAGCAAGCTCATTCTGTTATAGCTTATTTTATCTAATTTACATTACTTCTGTCCTGTTTTCCAGATGAATATTTGTGGAATTTAAAGTGTCCCTTTTTTTTCCACATGTTCAGATAACTGAGAGCAAATCAATGCAAATCATGTGCCAAGCTTATGCAGCCATTTCATACTTTTGCATTGGTGATGCTGAATCATCTTCACAGGTGGCTGGTTACAAAATTCATTGTTGCCGAAAATTGTAATTTAGCTTATCTTCTGGTGTTACTGATATTGATGTTGCATGTAGGCGCTTGATTTAATTGGACCAGTTTACATAATGAAGGATTCCTTTATTGGAATTAGAGAGGAAGCAAGCATCCTTTTTGCTTATGGCCTTCTATTGATGAAGCAGCAAGATCTGCAGGAAGCACGGTGAGCTTCTAATTTGATTAGTCTCATTTTAACTGAGAGATAGTTGACTGTTCGGTTCAGTTAATTTGGTCCATCAAGTATGTGGCATTTGAAATAATCCAATTTCCTTTTTCAAAGCATTTCCAAAATCCACGTTCTGTAATAGCTATAGCATCTATGTGAGTGTGTCAAAAAATGATGCTAAACAACTTCGTATATTTGACATTACCTGTTCCTTATTCCTACGCCACTTATTCATTATTTCGTCCCTTGTACTATCTCCAGGGCATTGGCATATGCTTTAAATCCAATGTAAATGTAACAGTTTTCTCTAGAATAGGGCATCTAATTTTGATTATGCATCAGAGGGATGCGCTATGTTTCAAGTTTTGTGTTGCATTGAAGATGCTCTTAGTGGGAAAATGGTGGTCATTAAAAGTGGTGAAAAGACAAGTTAGCATGCTTGAAAGGGCTGTGTATTTCCTATTGTTTTAGTATTTCGGGTTAAAAGAAAACATGTTTGGATCAGTAACTTGTTTGAAGAAAGAGAATAACAGTATTACCTAAGAAAATGAAAAAAAAATATACTCTCATTCGCCATAGCATGCTTGAATTAATTTTATAGTTTAGGTTTTTTTTTTCCAATCAGTTTCTTTAAAATTACAACTTTGATGCAGAAATCGGCTGGCCAAGGGCTTGCAGATTGCTCATGTTCAAATGGGAAACCTTCAGCTTGTATCTCAGTATTTGACCATTCTTGGGAATTTGGCTCTTGCTCTGCATGACACTGGACAAGCCAGAGAGATCCTAAGATCCTCGCTCACTTTGGCAAAGAAGCTCGGTGATATCCCAACTCAGATATGGGTTCTGTCTGTTTTGACGGGTATTATTCCTTGCTTTGCAGGTTTTACTTATGGTTTGCCTGCATTCTCAAAGCACTTTAACTTGTGAATAATCTTCATGCAGGACTCTTCGAACAATTAGGTGAGAGGGGAAACCAAATGGAGAACGATGAGTACAGAAGAAAGAAGTTTGATGATTTGCAATCGAAATTTGCTGATGCACGTTCATCCATCTATCATATTGAACTTGTAATTGTTACTCTTCTACTCATATATCTGTTTGTATAATCGGTAAAAGGTCTTAATTAGCTGCTGCTTATTGCTTACCGATCCGTATTTTTCTAAGCAGATTGACAAAGTAAAACCTCAAGTTCAGCAATATCATGAGATCGATGTGAAGCGTACGATGGGAGGCGAATCTATGAGAGTCAACCTTGACATCCCAGAATCTGTTGGCTTATCAACACCAATGCCAGTTCAATCATCATCAAGGCTGCTTGATTTAGACACTAGAAGACGTGGAAAGAAAAAACTGTAACTTTTTTTTTACTTGTTTATTTGAATTAGGAACATGGTGTTCGCACTTGAATGTATAGGTTCCCTAGTAAATTGTTAGAGTTGGCATTAACTTTACTAAATTAACCAAAGCTTAAATGAACGGTAACTGTTGTGGGTTAAGATATTGAGGGTAAGTGTTGATGTGTGTCGGAACGTCTTTCGGGTGGGTCTCGGAGTTGGGTTTCGACTTGGATTAAATGGATTGGAGTCGTTATCGATCATTTATTTTAAACAAAATAGGTTGATTGGATATTTATTTCTTACATGATTTGCGTTTTACCTGTAATGCGTCGGATTCGGGAGTCAGTTATAGTCAAAGAAGGGTTAGCACTCTTGAACTACCCTTTTGGTATTATGTAATTTTCAGTTGTCTTTAATTAATAAAATTGTAACTTTAAATTAAAAGTTAAAATAACGATTTAAAATTACTCACCTTAGATTGATTTAAATACCTTTAAAAGATGAAAATGTTAGAAGTAATAAGTGAAAAAATAGACATACAAAATAATAAAAAAAGGACAGAAAATAAACATAATAATGACAACATACACATACAAGATAAAAATAATAAAAAATAAAAGAGAAAATAACTAGATAAAATGAATATATATATAAATAAAATGTTAAGGAGAGAATAAAATAAAATAATAAATTTAAAATAAAAATGAAGATGAAAGCAAAATAAAACATGCAAAATATATAAATATAAAAGTGAAATATATAATAATTAAATATCATGAAGAGAAAAAAATAATTGTAGATTAACAAAATAATGAAAATAAAATATAATAATAATAAAAGGGGAAAAATAATATATATAAAAAACATATATACGTGTAATAACAGTGAGGGTTAATTTGAACTTAAAATAAAAATCAAGGGCCAATCTGAAGCCAAATTCGAGTTGCAATTAGACTTTGGGGGCAAATTAGAGGTTTTGAAACCAAAGGGACCAAAAATGCAGTTTACCCCTTTTTAAACAGAAACACGTGGGTCAAGGGCTCTGGGTCAGGTCAGAGAGCGGGTCCAACGAGTTTAGTATATAAGTTAATTTTTTTTAAAAAAAATTCACTTCTTTCTTTCATCAAAAAAACGCTCCCCTATCCTTATTCTCTCTCGGTGTTCTTTAAAAGAACACCAGCCCAGTTTCCAGAAAATGGCCATCAGTCGCCCCCACGCCGCCTCGCCGTCGCCGTTTATCGGTGGAAAAATTATATATTTTTAAAAATCTCGAAAGCGTTTTATTCATTTTTCAAAACCAAAAATGTTTTTTTTTCAAAAAACAAAGCCCCGAGGGCTAGATCTGGAGATAATTTTTCAAAAAAAAGGCATCGCTTTGCTTCATCGGCCAAAGATGATTCTTTGGGGTTCAAGTCAAACAAAAAATGACAGATCAACGTCGCTACACCAACATGCAAGCCGAGATCACACCAAACCGAAGGTAAAAAGAAAAAATACGTTTATTTGCTTCGAAACTTGTTTAAAAAATGTATAGGATACCCTCGTATATGCTGGTATTTTCGTGGTATTTCTTTGTGATAACTCTCTGTGTATCCTATAAACTCTCTAGTGATCGTGTGTGGTATTGTGTTCCCCTATTTATAATACAAAGATTCCCTAATTTTAGAGTTTTAATCCGAGTAAAACTCGATTTGGCTAACGTTTGATGAGTCCATGACTTTGATCTGTTATTTGCTTGTGTTTCATGCGGTCATGACACCGAGAAAACCGGTTATGGGAGGCGTGCTGTGCGAGGGAACTTCGATCGGGTTTGGTTGACCGAACGGTGTGGTTGGATGAGATGGGGTTAGGGTTTCTAAAAACCCTAACCTGCTGCGCATGGGCTTGCTGTTGGTTTGGGCCATAGCAGACTGCTGGAAAACATTTAGGCCTGTATATGATTCAAATAATAAAATTAATAATATTATATATATAATCATACAATATAACTTGTAGTATTATATAATACAATAATATTAATAGCATCAGACGAAATTGAGTGTCTTCAGCTGCCCCTCTTTGCTCATTTTCGTGTAACGACAATAGAGCAAAGATTAAAAGACACAAATTTCGACCATATCGAATATCCTCTGTCGCAGAGTTGAAATTCGATATTAAGACTGGTTTGAAATGACTCCCTCGTCATGAGGTCGAGTTGAACTGGAAGCTTCTGAGCACGATATCCTTCGTCGTGAAGTTGAAATCGAACTCAAAAACCCTTGGCAAGTAGCCTCTGAATCGTGAAGCTGAAGCTTGACCCCAAGGTTTTGGTGCAGATGACTCATTCGTCGTGAAGTTGGGTCGATCTGTTGAGGTACAATACCCTTTGTTGTGAAGCTGGAATTGTATATGGCTCCTTCATCGTGAAGTTGAGCCGGGGGATTGGATATCCTTCATCGTGAAGTTGAAATCCAATGTAGGTTGCTTTGTTTCGAGGCCAATATCCTTCGCCGTGAAGTTGAAATTGACTCTGAAACTAGAAAGTTTATTGGCAGACACTCCTTCTTCGAGTTGGATATCCTTCGTCATGAAGTTGAAATCCAATCTAGAGATGAATGCTGCTTGTGTGCACGATTCCCTTCGTCGTGAAGTTGAAACCGTGGATGGCCCCTCCGTCGTGAAGTTGAGCCTTGAATTGGATATCCTTCGTCGTGAAGTTGAAATCCAAGTAAGTTGTATTGCTCTGAGTCCAATATCCTCCGTCGTGAAGTTGAAATTGGCTCTGGAACTGGGAAACTGTTTGTTGACAGTCAGCCGCCCCTTCGCTGTGAAGTTGAGCTTGTGATGTCTTGAGTCTAATATCCTTCGCTGTGAAGTTGAAATTGACTCTGAATGAAACTGAAAAGTTGTTTGTTGATAATTAGCCGCCCCTTCATTGTGAAGTTGAACTTGTGTTGTCTTGAGTCCAATATCCTTCGCTGTGAAGTTGAAATTGGCTCTGAAGCTGGGAAGACCCTTTGTCGTGAAGTTGAGCCCCGAATGACACGATATCCTCCGTCGTAGAGTTGAAATCGTGGATGTGTGGGTACGATATCCTCCATCGTGGAGTTGAAATCGCGAATGACCCCTTCATCGTGAAGTTGAGCCTTGACTTGAATATCCTTCGTCGTGAAGTTGAAATCCAAGTATTGTATGTTGCGGGTGGACACGATTCCCTTCTCCGTGAAGTTGAAAACGTGGATGACCCCTTTATTATGAAGTTTGGCTTCGATCTAGATATCATTCGTCATGAAATTGAAATCTACTCTCGAGCAAATTGAGTCGTTTCGAGTCTAATCTCCTTCGCTACAAAGTTGAAATTGACTCTAGATAAAACCTGAAAAGATATGCATATATGCGAGGTTATGGATGCAATCCTCTTAGGTATGCCTAAAATGCATATGCAACATATGTTATTTTGGGCTATGGAGAGAAATCTCGATCTCTGGTTGCATGTCTGGAATCTTGACTCTGGAATTTTGAAGTTCTGATCCCTGATCTTGAATTCTTCAAATGTTCAAATATGATGTACACATTCTATTTGTTTCTTGATTTGGAAAATGCTTCTCGACCATCTTAAGTATGTGTATGAGCCTTGATCGGTTTTTGGGTACCTGTACTTTGTAATTAATCTTTGTACAATAATATGCGATTATCTCTTGCAAAAATAAATAAATCATTAGGTTTAAATTCAATTCAAGATGCTCAAAAGGAATTGATTTAGAGAAAAGATTGTCTTTATTCATAAGGGAGAAAAAGAACAAATAATACATGACAAACATTTTGGAAAATAATACATGATGAAGTATGAGATCTCGATAATGTGGGCACTTCTGAGCTGAAAAGCCGTTAGGTGACTTTGAATGCAACCTTTACCAAGGGATCTTTGAAAATACGACAACATTCTGGAGAGTGCAACCTTTCTCCTACTCATTGAGTTTGTAGAAGATTCAGATGGCAGGATGTTTCCACTGTCTGGATTTTCTTGATCGATGTCCAAATCGCCCTTTCGGGTTTTCAACTTGGACTCATCTTTGGTTGCAAGACGTCCTTTACGGGTTTTCATCTTGAACCCACCTTATTTTTTTTGTTTTTTCTTTTTTCGTTCTTTTTTTCTTTTCTTTTTTTTTCAATTTAGGGCACCCTTTCGGGTTTTCACCCTAAACGTTTTTTCTTTTTTTCTTTTTTCCTTTTTCTTTTTTCTTTCTTCGACTTAAGACGCTCTTTCGAGTTTTCATCCTAAGCGAATACTTTTTGACTGCATCCGAGTTGATGGGATGTGGCAATTCAGGTCCGTCCATTTCAGCCAGGACAAGGGCTCCTCCGGAGAAGGCCTTTTTTACGACATATGGTCCTTCTCAATTTGGTATCCATTTTCCTCAGAAATCTTTCTGGACTGGCCAAATTCTTTTTAGCACCAGATCTCCTTCGCGGAATATTCTCGGGCGCACCTTTTTGTCATGTGCTTGGATCATTCGTTTCTGATAGATTTGACCATGATGAATGAATTTTAGTCTCTTTTCATCTATCAGATTAAGCTGATCATATCTGGACTGTATCCATTCTGCATCATCTAGTTTGACTTCTGTCAAGACTCGAAATGACGGAATCTCTACTTCAATGGGAACACTGCTTCCATTCCATAAGCTAGTGAGAATGGAGTCGCCCTAATCGAGGTTCGTACCGAGGTTCGGTAAGTGAACAAAGCAAATGTCAACTTCTCATGCCAGTCTTTGTAAGTTTTAGTTGTTTTCTCCACTATCTTCTTAATGTTTTTGTTTGCTGCTTCTACTGCTCCATTCATCTTTGGTCTGTAAGCAGTAGAATTGTGATGCTTTATGTTGAATTCCTCACAAGCAGTATTCATCATTTTGTTGTTCAGGTTTGTAGCATTATCGGTGATGATCCTTTCAGGTAGACCATACCGATATATGATTTCTTTCTTCAGAAACTTGTAAATAGTGGATTGAGTGACACTGGCAAACGACGCAGCCTCTACCCATTTCGTGAAATAGTCAATTGCTACAAGAATGAAACGGTGACCATTCAAGCCTTCGGATGGATTTGCCCGATAACGTCCATGCCCCACACAGAGAAAGGCCATGGTGACTTTATTGCATGAGTGGATGAGGTGGAACATTGATTTTATCTCCGTAAATCTGACATTTATGACATCTTCTATCATAGTTGATGCAATCACTTTCCAGTGTGGACCAAAAATATCCGCATCTCATTATTTGTCTTGACATCATATGTCCATTTGCATGTGCT